GGCCTTTTCCACTAATGTGCGGTTGCACCTCTCAGCCAACCCATTCTGTTGAGGGGTATAAGCATTTGTCATCTGGTGAATAATGCCTTCTTTCTTTAAATAATTATCAAAATCAGTACTACAAAACTCACCTTCCTGGTCAGTCCTGAATATCTTTATTTTTCTGTTCTTTTGGTTTTCAACCAGTGATTTAAATTGCTTAAAGCATTCAAATACTTCACTTTTTGCCTTTAGGAAATACACAAAAGACATTCTGCTGTAGTCATCAACGAACAATAGAAAAAATCTTGCTTTTCCAATTGACATATTTTCCATCGGTCCACAGACGTCACTATGAATAATTTCCATAACTTCACCCTTGCGAAAAAAATGCCTAACTTTAGGGCATTAATGCATAACTTTTAGGCATTAATGCCTAAGAAGTTAGACATGATTTTGAGTACCTAACTTAGGCATTATGCTTAACTTGGGAATAATGCCTAACTTAGGCATTATGCTTAACTTAAGAATAATGCCTAATCGATTCAATAAAACTATTCATTTAATAAAAGGGGTGTATTTTTATATGTCGGTATATTTATTTTAAAAAAATAAGTAGCCAAGCGCTTTCGTCATTTAATCTAATGACATCATCCGGGCTAGCCCTGAAAAGTAAAATTTTTTACTTACTTGTCAAGGCGAGCTTACATTTATATGCCCTGCTTAAAATACCCCATAGAGACCCTGTTCAAACCGATAGATATTTGTATCGGGATGTATGGTGTTTGTATAGGGTGTATCGGTTTGTATAGGACCCATAGTTGAGATTTATGGTTGTTCTATAGCGATATCCACCCTTGATTTATTTGCTATCGGTTTCAATGTGGAAAATACACATAAATGTAGAAATTAGTTTTCCCCTATAGGACCCCATAGGTTTTAATAAACTTTGTCAAATGTTTTATGGTTGCTCTATAGGGATATCCCTATATATCCTTCATTGAGTTATTTGCTATCGGTATCAATAGGGAAAATGTAAAAGTTATGGTGTGCCTATAGGTAATTTCCTATACATCTTCTATCGGGCTGTATCCGGAAAAAACCATGGACAAATGCACATATTGAATCCGGTAGCGCCCGATAGATTATTTTGTATAGGTCTCTATGGGGTATTTTAAGCAGGGATATTCTTTATGGTGATATTGTTAAACTCTCCATTGCATGAAGTAACAATGTCTATCACCCAAACATTCCACAGAAATTTTTTGTTGATTTGCTACGACTATTTCTTTAATGGAAGACTCTGAACAATTTTTTATCCACTGTTTATTTGAACACATGTGTTTGCTGGCACCAGAATCCAAATAAAAATCACTTTTGTTGTATTTTTCACTTAAAAATGCAGCACTAAAAGCATATTTTGTGTCATTTTTCGGCTTACTGTTTAAACTTCCATTATTTGTACAATTTGTCATGTAGTGTCCAGCCTGTTTGCACTTAAAACAAATTATTTTACTCATATCCTTTTGTTTATTGGAATCAGCTTTGTTGACATCTCCATTTTTGTTAACAGCTCCACCTTTTGGTTTCCATTTAATGTTACTACTTCTTGCTGCAAATGCGCCCGTTTTTTTACAAGCGCCATCTATTTGCATATCGAGGAGTTTACTTTTGATCAAGTCCGCAGTAATGCAGATTCCTGTATGTTCAATAGCCATAAGCATGGGACTATACTTTTCTGGCAATCTCGCCAAAAGTAGAGAACCTATCCATTCTTCTGTAATGGCGAAGCCGGTTTTTCCCAACTTCTGAGCTGTTTCTATCACTTGGTTTATGTAAACCTCCATTGACTCACAACTTTCCAGTATCATTGAGATAAAGGTTCTGAAGAGTCCTATTTTTCTTGTAAAACCAGCGTCCTCGTATAGATTTTTGATTTTATCCCACGCCTCCTTGCACGTTTTTGCATCCTTTACATGGACATACAACGAAGGGTCTAGCGTTAAAATTAATTTAGCCTTCGCTTTTGCAACTATTGCTGTGTCCATCTCCGTACCTTCTAAAGACTTTGTAAGTCCTTCTAGAACGAACATGTTTTCGATTGCGAAACACCACTCATCGTAGTTTTCCCGCACAATAAGTTTTGGAACACTGTTTATATAGTTCACTGCCATTTTACGACCGAAACTGAGTAAACCTGCGAATTTTTACACGAAGCACACCGCGATGGAACCGAATTCTGGGCCCATAACCTATTATTAATGGATTCTAATCGGGGAATATAAATGAGACGCGTACTCTTCAGTGTCTATGAACGAACTGACTTTATTCAAACTGTACATGACCAGTGTTACCAACATTACATAAAGATATATTACTTTGAACCATGGGCGCCGGAAGAAATTCGTCTAGGGGGGGGCCCTTAAAGTTTTTTACAATTTTGATAGATGTTATTTATAATCAAGTTGTACTGTAGAAGTTCACATTAAACTTAAGTCAAATAAAATATCATCTTTATACAGGGTGTCCCAAAAGTCAACGAGATCCTTTGGAGGACTGAGAGACCAACTCATGACAAATATGACAAATATGACCTTAGTAAAAAATCGTTAGTTTTTGACATTTTATGAATTTTGTAAAACTTGACACCTTAGATTAGTTTTTCGAGTGCCACAGCTACAAAATCTGCTACTAATTTAATTTTGAATTGTAATTAATAGCAGTCCTATTCAGGGTTTTTGTGTCAAGTTTCACAAAATTCATAAAAATGACAATATCTTAAAAACTAATGATTTTTTACCAAGGTCATGTTTTGATATTCTGATTAGTCATGAGCTGACCTATGAGTCCTTCAAAGGATATCGTTGACTTTTGGGACACCCTGTATGTATATTTGTAAATTTGACACAATATATTAGCGCCATCTGTTTATCAATTCACTAGGCTTATGAAGAAATCTATTCTATAGTCGACTTTTTCAACATATATAGTTCGTATATAGAAATATGTCAGCCAAGAGCGTGTCTTACTCAGGGATGGGCAAGATCCGGCAAAAATGATTTAAATCTAAATCCATAAATCCACACCATAAACTGGATCTAAATCCTCAATCATAAATCCATTACGTTATCTGGATTTAAATCATAAATCCTAAATCCACTTGCAAAAAAGGATTTAAATCCTAAATCCATAAATAAATCCTCTATTTTTTAAATATTTATTTTATTAATTTTTCAAGAACAGTTTCCGGATTATTTCACTTTTTAAGTTTTATTTAAGCTAAAACCCCTTGGATTCCAAATCAAAATTGATATGAACCTTATTGCATGTATACATAAGATTCCATCGAATATGAACATAATGATCTGTGGCTTCTGGTTTCTTTGCCATAGGATTATGAACGGAATCAGTAAACTGTGCTTCTAATTTCTTTGAACAGCCAGGCATTTCATTTATTTTACAACACTAGTGTTCATTAAGACGGCACAGATCTTAAATTATCTAAGATAACAAATCTAATTTATCTAAAAAATAATGAACAAATTATAACGATCAGCACTTACCGTCAAATTATGGAGTACCGGAATTTCTGGGTATGAATTTCCAGGGGGGGGCCGGGCCCCCCCTGCCCCTATGTAGCGGCGCCCATGCTTTGAACTAAAATAACATTTCTTCACTCTCTGCAAACTCGTGAATAAGTCGCTGTTTAAGGTAAGGTGCACGATATTAATCATTTCATCAGTCAACACATCGGGAAACAACGCCATTTCTGTATTAAATGGAGCTAACTCGTTGCATTCGACGATGGTCGTTTCTTTAGCTTTTAAATTTAATTTAGTTACATCATAATATGATATATATTATATGCTATAGCTATAACCTTTAATATTTGCGACTTCAGGGTTGAATTTTGATGTTAATTACTGCCTCCCTCGCTGTCTCCAGTAAAAACATTTTGTAAAATGTTCTCTTCTCTAATATCATCTTTTTTATCTTCATTATCCTGAGTTGTCCTTGTTTTACCTATGACTTTAAATAAACCGTCAATCTTGGACAATTTTCCAGTTTTTCTATCTTTTGTTTCCGGCTTTAGGTATTTTTGAGTTATTGTCTGAGTCATTATTTCTTTTACAAAAATAATGTAAACCTCACGAAAAAAAACGATCACACGAAGACACACCAAAAATTATGTGCGTACCGCGTACCTACGTAAGAAATTAAACGAAGAAAAACACGATAACACGGCACTTACGGCAGTAATTTGCAACTAAACTGATTTTTATTTTATAGAAGCATTTTGCCTTTGCATTACCTCATTTATTTCCCAATTATCCGTCAAAATAAACAACAAACACATTTTTTTTGCTGACGTTAACGCCGACACTTGTCCGAGCGTAAACGTTTGGTACAATATATCTATGATTAATGCATATATATATGCTATAGTTTTATTTTGGAATAAGATTATTTTTATTAAAAGCAATTAGGAATTTTAACAAAGAGATCAAAGGGGCCTATTTTGGAGCTGGGGACCTCCGCAAGATGGGCCCCTTATCGCCGCCACTGCATACTAAGTATATTTACTATGTATACTATAGTAAATGTAGAAAACGCCATTTTTGCGTATTTGGACTACAGCGGAACGCGCTATTTGCTAAAATGTATTGTTTTTTTATTAACAAAATCATAAATTCTGTAAATACAATAGGATTATTTATTATTATTAATTCTTAGTTATTTTTAAGAATTTGAAACAATTTAAATTTAACTATTTATAAGATTAAAAATCAACCTGACAACTATGGTTATATTTCATTCTCTCTCCTGTAGGCCACGCCTGCTTCGCTTGCTTTCTTTTCTTTTTGATTTGCTATTCTTATCTACGACTTTACATATTGTATTATAAATATATATATATATATATATATATATATATATATATATACTACTAAGTATTTAATAATTTACATAATTAAAACACATTATTATATAATTAAAACACATATATTTTATAACATTTAACAGAATGCCAGCAAGGCGGGAAAAACAATTACTTTACAAATAAGTCTTTTAAGGTGGAGCAGAGTGAAGAGTCACAGGTGTCTGGTAAATCATCATCACCCTTTGCAAACCAATTAGCTTTTGTACTTCTATTGCCTTTTGTTTTGTTTAATTCAATGTTACTAGAAGTCTTTAAAGTAGTTTCTGGAGACGTATATTTTAAGAAGTCCTCTATGGCACTTCCTAAAACATGTGCGTTTACAAGAGATCCACTTCGTTCGTCCCACACAACCTTTCCAGGTTCAGTATCAACCACATCCACATTTTCTGTTGATGTGGATTTATTGTCTTCAATTTTTGATTTAAGCTGATGACGTTTTACGAACCAATTGTTAGGAGGAGAGAAAGTTTTGTTTTCATTAATATTAATAGCTGTACCATGTAAAAAAGAAATATCAAAACTAATAGACCTGTTACTCTTCAATCGACTTCGCTTTTGATGTAAACTCCAGTTTTTCAAAGGATCTTCTTTTGTTTGATTCCGTTCACTCTGATTAAGTTCAGACGCAGATGTGGATAGAGGAGATAAAATAGAGATAAGATCATTATTAGAGCAAATTATCCCAATATTAGGTTTCTTACTTGTGGAATTTGAAGTATTGGATGAACCAGCTGCTTGGGGTAGTTCAGATGCGCGTCGCGTTTTGGAACTGGGTATAGGGGCAAGAGTGGTGCCTACAAAATCAGAAAATCTTCTGCTTGAATTTGTATAGCGTTGGATACCACCAGTTTGATCCAGAGGCTGAACTTCACACAACTTTTCGCTACTTGTATTCCATAACTTCATTCTAACTTTTCGAGATTGAACAATATCATCCATTATATCTAATTGTAAGTTATGGACACTACCTCTATTTTCGGTAGAAGGTGGACAAGCTATTGATTCTCGTCTATTCGGAAGAACTCTTCCAGAAGGGCATGGAAAAGATGCCACTGACTCTCGTCTATTTCTACCAAAGAAAGATGTTGGTACCTTAGATATGGTAACAACAGAATGTCTGCGACCACCTGGAGTAGGTTGTTGAGCTGTAGATAAAGTAGCCAAGAATTCAGCTTGCCGAGGTCCTGGGCCAGTCGTTTCGCCCCTTTCTGATAATCTACGTACTTGACTTGCAGTAATGCCACTGCATTGTGGGGATGGTAATGATAGTTTTCGTACATCTCTCATAAAGGGCGATAATAAATAGGGATTCATTAAAGGGGACTCATCTGCGGAACTCGTGGAAAAACTTTTTTTTTCAGGCGAATTCTCTTCATTTTCTTGAACATTGACTATAACTACTGGTTCTGACGTTTGAGATTGTAAAATGCCTTTAGATGATCTTCTCATTTTTCTTACAATCGATTTCACCCTTAAAACATAATAATTTCAATATTTTTTAAATACTTAACAGAAACGTTAAAATATTTAAAATTTACGGTTAATTTTTTAATCTAATCTATATGTAAAACATGGCGTTGAACTTGTATATGTGTATAAATACATATGGGCCTTTCCATCTCAAATCGACAAGGCAAAAAGGGGTAGGTCGTTATTTTTTAACGAAATTTTGTTTACAGTTTCTTTGCCGAAATCGATAAGACCCATATTTTTTATTTTTGCTTAAATTTGTTTTGTTCACCCGTAGGAGATTTTTGAAAACTGGACTCTTTTTACGAGTGACATTTTGTCTTGAAAATGCGATAACTTGGCCAAAAATGTTTCGATAGTTAAATTTTTTTTTAATTGGATGTAAATGTTTACTACATACAAAAAATATATAAAAAATTAAGTAAATTTACTTTTTTATAAAAAAGACAACCAAAAATTGAGGTCAAAATTATGACATTGACACATTTTTTTTTACTTCATATATTTTTCGTTTGTAGTTGATAATATGAACAACTTTTACCAAAGAGTTAGCTAAATTCGTTTGTAGTTGATAATATGAAAAACTTTTACCAAAGAGTTAGCTAAATTCGTTGTTTTGGAATTATTATTTTTTTAATGAAATTTGGTATTTTATCTATAGATATACCCTATAGGGTCATGAAACTGTGGTGACCTTTATAAAGTGTAATTTATAACTTTTTGACATATTTAAGTAAGTAAATTATTAAAGATATTGGAGTAAAATGTAAATTCTTAATATTTTTGCATGTGTTACTTTTAAAAGATGTAAAAAGTAAGTAGGTTTATATTAATATTAAGTTAGTTTTGGTTAAAATAATAAAATGTAAGTATTACATATCTAAAATTAACTCAAAAATAACATTAAACTTTTTTTGTAGAGAGTTTAATTCTCTACAAAAATATTCCAAATTTTTTTAAATGAGTCGGAAAGACTCGCCAAAAAAGTTAAAAAACCCAAAAATTTCGTTTAATTTGAACTTTGACCTTAAATTAATTTAAAAGAATCAAATTTATCAAAAAATCATAAGAAACCTTTTTTGTACAAAAATATGTGAAGAACTTTACAGAACGACCAATCGTTCGTTAGTTACAAAAATTAGAAGATATGAAACCTATGAAACTTTTGAGCGTGGTTTCGAGAAAAAAAAACAAAAAAAGTGTGAATTACCCTAATATAGGTACATATATATCGAGGGCGTACAAGGAAAAGTCCACAATTTCTAGTTTTGAGAAAAACGCATTTTAAAACTAACCTGAATGCATAAAATCGATTTTTTATTTTAAATATTATATATTACATTAATATAAATTTCTTATGAAATTAAAAGTAATTATTGATGATTAAATGAAAAATATATTTATATAAACGATATTATTTGTATTTTTGTTATAAACATTTGGACTTAAAGTATTTTTCCTGTTAGTTTTCAATATAAATTTGGACTTATTGGACGTATTTTAACCTGTTACAGATTTGCATTTTTGTTTGCTAAATTGGACAAAGTTTCGTCATCGGAGGAGTCTTCTGAGTCATCTACTTCACTGTCTTCAGCACTAGGCTCAGTTTTATGTTTAACATTTGTACCAGCCACTACTAAATGTACTTAGTGGATTCTTAATGTTGAGTATTACAGAAATATGGACTTAGTCAAAATACAGATAGTTACAGACCCCTTAATATGCGCGTTTAAACTTTTTTCGAAGTATAGTAACTATACGGACTTAATGGTTTCAATTTTTGCTATTATAGCAAAAGTGTACTTAGCCGATTTTCCTTGTACGCACACGATATGTATATGGTGTTTTACATTTGTGGTTCATTAGTTTCTGGGAAACGAAAAAAGATATCGATTTGAAGGTTTAAAAGCGTTTATAATCCATTTAAAATACTTTAAACAAAATACCACTTCCGGTTTAACCGAAAGTAACATCAACTTTGATATTTAAAATAGAACAATTGTAATTGTAATGTTTTAAATTCTGTATAAAATTCTGAGTAAAATTACTATAGGGCGATTCCGTACTCGCGGGTGCAACATCTTACTAAGAAAATAAAAATTCTTTTTAAAGAAATGACTGGTCGCAGGATTACATTGTAATCTGTTTTACAAAAATTAATATAAAAAACATTTAATAAAATGTATAAATAGACACAGGAGAGGTTCAAAGTGCTATCGCGGGTGCAACGAAATCGGCCCACCATTGAAGGTCATGAAGCTAGAATAAAAAAAGTCTGTTAATTATGGAATATTTATTAAATTATTTTTACATTCTTAAAAAGAATACAAAACAAACTAATTATTAACTTAAATAAAATTATTAAAAGAAATAAATATAATAAATTCACTTTTTATCCAGTCGCGGGTGCAACGTAAAATTATCGCGGGTGCAACACGTCTCACTGTAGAGAATATAAACATTTCCATGTAACTTTAAATTAAAGATATGAGATCATAGATGCTGTATCACTAATTAGCACTTTCCTATGTAACTGAAATAAATTATTTGTTTGGAATAGTCGGCGATTTATCAGCCTTAAGGTTCATCTTCAGAATCGCTGTAAACATCAGAAACGCGTAACTTTTGCGTAACTTTTTTTGTAACTTTTCTACGTGTTTTTTTAGTAGCAGTTGTCAAAACTAATTTGCTTTTTAAATTAGACTTTGACGTTCGTGTAACACAAATGCTCTTACCCTCCTCAAATTGAAAAAAAATTTTTTGATTGAATGGCTGGTATATTTTTTAGTCCTTTCCACCTATCATCTAACATGGTTTTTCCTTCTTCAATTTGTTTTTGGGATACAAATATAAAAGAAATTTTTGGAGAAAGGCGACGAGCCAGATCATAAAATTCTTCAGCGTTGTTAACAATTGCTTTCCGAGCTTTAACAGCAGTCCACACTGATCTTTTCACACTTCCTCCGAGTCCATCGACGGCACCTTTGCCATGTGAAGCAGCAAAAAAATTCCATTCAAGGTGAGTAAATCCGTGTTCTGCTTTAAGAGTATTCATACTCTCAATAACATATCGGTTCTTGTACTAAGCGGCACAATTGTCGCTGAAGATACGTATAGATTTTATATTATTATTTATTGACTGAATGTACTGAAAAATTTTCTGCAGTAAAACATGAACTGTATATTTACTGTGGCTTAGTTCATCGCTTACTATGACCACTGAGTGAAGTTTTTCAGTTGTTCAAATACAGCACGTAAAAAGCGTCACATGCACATGACACCAATGAGCTGATTGTATTTCGTCTTGACTAACTAATCCATAGTTTTCAGCAAAGTCAATTTGTACAATGGCTTCCTCGCTGGTCAAGTTTTCTTTTGCACTTTGAAAGTACTCGGACTGGACATTTTTAACTAAAAAATGCAGCTTAAATTTCGTAGTGTTCTCACGTAGTTCATTTAACGCTTCCCTAAACGGTTTGTTCACTACGATCTGTTTTGGTCTCTGATTCTCCAAAATCCAGGTCTTCCATTCAACATTGGGATTAGAATCTAGGGTAGTATTCCAAATATTGGAATTTTTGCATACATCGCAATCATTTGACATAGGTACAATTTTTATTATCGATATTACACGATACCTGATTTATTAGCTCTCGGTGTGTTTTGGGAAAATCTGTCATGTTTTGAAATAGCAGTAAGAAGATTAATATAATTTGAGTGTATTGTACAAACACAAACATTATGAAAAGTTTGACTGGCAAAACGTAAGCAGGTCTCTCATTATAAAGAAGAGTCTTGCCAATTGATATTTCGGGGAAACTTATTTGAAATAGCTCGAAAGCTTCACGGACGCTCATAATCATCGTTCTCTTCTGGATTCCTAATTTTTCTCCCGTACTTGTTTTTATTGAATTATCATCTTTTATTCCAGGCATTTGTCTGCTAATATCATCCCTTTCATAAAAGTTACGAATTTGTTCTTTGACTTCATCTATCGATTTAGAAGGCATCGTTTTAGGAGGATCGTTGACAGCAACTTGAAATTCCGCAGCAATTTTTTTGACAACTTCAAATGCTTTAGAAGGGCTAGAGGGTAAATTACGCTTCACTTTTGCTACTGCTTTTCCCAACGTACGAGAATTCTTATATGAAACACTTGTTCTTCCAATTTTTGCTTCTTTACGACGTTCTCTTGTCGTCCGCATTCTTTTTTTGAACGCATTCTAGCCAGCACTTTTAACTCTTCATTTTCTTCCATATTTTTTTTCATGACTTCTCTACGTTTCAAATCGCGAGCCCTTTCTCGACGGAGATGGTTTGCAAAAAGTTTAGGATTTTCCTTTAGTTTTCGCCTATATTTTTGAGAAGCAGTCTCCTTTTGCTGTTGTTCTGCCATTTCATTTGATCTATTTATACAAAAAAACGCTCCGGTTATAGGTTTTGTTATGTGGATATAACAGGTTATGTCAAACTTTTTGACATAAATGTCAAAAAGTTTGACACAACCTTAAATCTTGTTTACCTTTAGTTTAGTTTGCTATTTTATGAAATTTAATGGATATAAAAGAACAACGTATTATATATCAAATATTATAAAAAATATACAACCAACCCAAAAACCCGGTAAAATTAACTAAACTCAAAAGCCCGCGGTATCGAGAACTGTCAAACATAACCTCCAAATAGTAAAAATAAACAAAAAACTTGCATTAAAAAGAGAGAAGAATATTTACCGCTGCCAGTAACACTACTCAACATCTGTGTTACTCAATTCTTAACCGCGGTTACTGATTTGACATTTCATGCAGTTACGGGTTACTCGTTAAAATAGAATGGTTTTAACTTTTTATTACCGGTAACTCGCTAAAAAAAATGTAATCGTGAGAGTCTGTTGCACCCGCGATTCTAATATTTTGATCGCGGGTGCAACTCATTTTAGTCAACGTTAATTTTAATTAAAATGACAACATACCTTCTATTGCGACCGAATCAAGTTTTCCT